AATACACAGTTTCAATAGACAAAAGATTACTGAGGCCATGTTTTTGGTCATAAGAGATATATTTGGTTCCATGACCTCTTAATAACTGAAGAAACAAATAAGTAATACAGAAACCTGAATCAAAAACTTTGTAAACTGAGATGTTTCAGAAGTGTTGTTTTAAGCCTTAGTGAATGGCCTCTGTATGTTGATGCAGACTGTTGACATGTTAACTGTGTTTAGAAGGAAACTTGTGAAGTATTACACTGTCTCTCCAGGTTCTGTTTTAATCAAGGCCAAAATAATGTTTGGAAACAAATACAGTAAATAGTAGATAATAGAAGCTTGAGGAATGGAGTGATGCCTAACTGTTTTTTTTTATGAAAGAAATTAAATATTCATATCATTCATCAGAAAGAGGGATGTTCACTGCCATTGTTTAGGTGTAGAATCATTGCATATGTCTTAATGGAGAATGCTTTTACCAACATATATTGAAACTTTTTGATGAAAATATTTTGAAAACACAATTCATAAGTAAAAAGTTCTGTGAAATCTTTTAATGCAAATGTAGATTTCATATGAAAGTTTATTATTGCTGTTAATACTTTGGCTGTTACTGTGGCATATTTTTGATGTATGAATCATTTCAGTAACAAGGGCTGTGGTAGCATGTTCTCAGTTATATCATTAGTATTGTTTAGTGGTAATTATGAGGTCAAGAGAAGAGTTCAAAATGAATGTAACAGAAGTATTTGTAAAGTTTTTGGTATAACCAAATATAGGTGAACCAGGTAGAGAAACTTACCCGAAGTTGTTTTTGGCAGCTCTCAGAAGGTTAACCCAAGAGAAATGGGCCTTTGAAGGTGGACTAACAGATAACTAAACTGCATTTTTTTTGGCAGCTGGGTGGGGTTCAAGCCAATATTTGAATTTCCTTATTTCTTAAAAATAGCTATAAAAATTATCTTTGAAAGTATTATGTAGGCGTTCCTGCCACTCCCTGCCTTCTGAATGTTTGATTGATGATAACGAGCAACTTTATGGGTTTTGGTATATCAGTCAAGACCTTAGCACTAAAAAATACTTCAAATGTTAACTTATCTTCAAATTCCATAATAAGTGGAGTGAGTGAAACAAGAAGTCCCTGCAAATTTGATTGTTGGTTTCTGGTTTTTAAAAGGAAAGATCCTATGATTGATTACTACTGCTGCTTCACATGTTGCGCAGTGTAAAAACAAACCACCAGATCCTGCACTCCACTTACGTGCTGTACGTCTTTTCCAGTGTATTTAAAATGAGGAAAAAATCTATCTATTCAGGAATATAAAACATGATGTATATGGCAGCTATGAAAGACAGACTGAGACTTCTTGCAAATGGAGCAAATTCTATTTGCTCCATTCCATTCTCCCTTATGCAACTCATTATTTCAAAATGAGAATGGGTAAACTTGAATGATGAGAGACCACTAGATGGCTCCACTCATTTTTGCTATGGGTAGTGGTAGTTTTGGTGTCACTTACTGTGAGAATAAACCCAGATTATCATGGGAAAGAAATAGTGCAGGTGTTGGCAGTTAGACTGAGACAAGGTTGAAGTGTATACAAATCAAAAAAACTCATAAATTAGAGAGCTGATATCCCAAATCATGAGAAAATATTTTTAAGCCTTCTTTTTTATATCAGTCTCTTCTAGGGTTAGTATTGGCTTCAAAATGACTTTATTTTTTTATTTTTTTATTTTTTTTTACCTTTTAGTAACTTGTTGTACTTGGCTTTTGCATGCTAGGAATAATACTTTGTATTCTTAGAAATACATGACATCCATGTTGGATTTTTTTAATTCTTGGAAGAAAACGTGAAGATGGGGGACATGTAATTTGTATTTCCCCATATGGAAGTAATTTGATCACTTCTGGTTTTGTCTCTCACTCATGGGCATGGTTGCTGCTTTCTGAAGAGTATAGTTAGTCTCTGTGATCAGTATTACGGTGGCCTTGCTACAGGCAGCTAGTGTAATTTGTTACGTTTTCAACTGACATCTGACATGACTTTTCCCACCAGTAGCCAAGTTAGTCAATTTGTTAATAAATGTCTTTGCTATCTCATTGTCCTTCATGAAGTAGAAACCTGAGTCAAGATGGTGGGAATCTCTAGTCTCCAGTTACCATATTTATACAGGAAATTGGTTTTCATGCCTGTGTTTTTAATGTATTTCTGTGACTGAAGCAAAGCATGGACAGTAGTTAAAAACATTGACTTAATTATAATACATGTGCTTTGCCACGAAGAAGTGAAGTGGCAACTTTACTAAATGGGTCAGTGCAATAAAGATGGTTGCCAGAGCAAGGAGCTTGTATGTCCCACCACTAATTTCTTTGGTGCTCTTTCACTATGAAGAATTTTAAAATTCATTTATGGAGCCTGAAAGCTTTCTTGAACTTCCGATCACTTCTTCCCTATTTCTTTATAGTTTTGATTAAAGTTTGTGTTTTTGACTCCTGTTGTGATGTGACCTTGTTAGTTCGTGATTAAAGTAGGTATTCTGGGATGTTTTAAACTGAATGAAGCATCAATTACATGCTTACATGACATCTTCAAGGTACAGTAGTTGAATGTCTTAGTTTAAGGATAAGATTATCTGTATTCCAACAGCATTTTTCTTTTAATTTTTCATAAAGAATCCAGTTCAGATGAAGAGAGTCAAAAGGAGTCTACGAATGAGAGATCAAGATGGCAGTTCCACTGTTGATTGAGAGGTTGAGGAACTGGACTAATGCATGAGTGCTGTGATAAAACTGTCCAAGAGAAGGATGTTAAAACATGGACTCCCGTGTTATTAAACCAGAGAAGAATTGGGTTCTGATCATCCTATCAAAATGGACTTTGCACTTTAATTAATCAGGGGACTATATTGGTGACTTATCTAGTGATGGATGGATCCGTTTGAGGGTTGGGTGGCAAAACTTCGCTCTAAGGTGATGTATACATCTAGGGAAATTGAATTAATAAGACATATTGCTATCCTTTCAGAGAAAATGTAATTTTTTTAAAAGTTACTTAATAAAAGGTTTTGGTTTCTTTTACACTTCGTGTTTGTTCTTTCTGGCTGATTTTTTTTTAATTGTTTTGATACTGGAGTGTATGCCTTCTTGGATGCTGTTAAAGTGAGAAATGTTTTAGCTGATAAGCTCTAAAAGCAAGACAAATTTTAAGAAGTATTTGATTTAAAATGCTGTGGGTTTTACTTAAAAACTATCTTCACTTTGCTACAATTTGCAATGAATTCTTACCCTCTCTCTGGTTCTTCTAGGTGATCAATTTTAGTTTTGGTTTTTTTTTTTTTTTTTTTTTTTTTTTTTCCTCTCTCTCTTTCAGAGTGCTTCACTGTCAGGGTACTTGCAAATTTTCTGAAATTACTTTAATGTGGAATTGATACCATGTGAAGGATGGGCAAATATGACAATAAAAATGCGTGTTCAGGGTTTTCTGAGGAAATTTTCCTTAATTACTCCATACAAAAGAGGTTTTCTTAACTAATTTTTGTAACTTCTAGGTATGTTCATTCGGTTGTGTATATATACATGAACTTTCAACAGATTTTCTAGACAATGTAATTTCTAAGCAGCCTTATCTATCCTAAAATTCATCTCTATAAGTGTCCTTTATATGTCACAGCCATTTGATGTAGACTTAGCTGTATGGTACTGTACATATTTGACAAAACGAAGGAATTTTTGATATTACTACAGAAAACATGTTGACCTTTACAAATGAATTTTTAAATGGTTGTAATGTTCAAAAAATGGTTTCAAGTATTTTTGTGGGTCAGATTATGTGGATCAAAATGACTTAGGCCTTCGTATGCCATTTTCACCTGGCATCTGTAGGCTATCCTCTTTGCCTTACACTAGAAGGCCAAGAGAAGACAAACCTGGTGCTGACAAAACCTAGATCTGGGAGATTGCATTTAAGCAAAAACCAAACAAAAGTATGTGGTTTAACCATTTGGCTTGCTCAGGCATTTTTGTAAATACTCCATTTTAACCATAATTGTTCATCACTTTAATGAGATTGTTCTGGTTATACACACTTGCCTACTCAAGATTGTTTTTGCCATGTGCTATATGGTGGAGTTGGTACTGGGACCAGCCTAAGAGGTTCCACATTCCAGTGAGTGAATTTCCTTAGTGTTGTACAAAGTTGATTGAAACTGTCTTATGTTGTGTGTTCAATTTGTGTTGTTTAGGTGCAAAGGTTCTTCTATAAGTAACAAATAAACTAAAATTCTTTAAATTAGACTATGACAACATAGTGTACCTATTCAAACCTCTTTTTGTTTGGAAAGGTGATTGGTTGTTGGAGGCTGTAGCTGGAGGGTTGTTGGATGGCAAGCATGTGGAGTAGGAATTGAAAGGGAATGTTTTAGTTCTACTGGTAGAAGCCGATGTTTTCAAGTTGGTGGGACACTGCGTCATGGATGGTCCCTCCAGAGGTCCAAACTATCATGTTACTCCCTTCTTCTCCCAGCCTCCACTGTCTGCTTCCACCGTCTTGCTGTGATGCTTATTGGTGTGCAGGAGGTCCTTGTATTTTAGTTTGTTGCTTGTGGGGAGATAAATGGTAGTCAGGATGCAAGAAGTATGGGGGTGCATGGATCTCCTCCATTTTCTCCATGAGATGTCTTCATGGTGCTCAGATGTTGTATGTGAGAAATCGCTTGGTTTCTAATGCTGGTTCTTGGTAATTACATGGCTTTGAGGAATAATTTGTCATGTTAAAATCTGTTAACAAACATTAATGGGTTAAGAATGGGAATTGGAAATAAGCCTTAATGGCATCAGATTTATTTTACAGTGATGCCTTCTATTAATGGATGAAAATTGTGCAGCTTTTGGATTTTTGTTCTCAAGCAGAACCACCAGGGAGGCGCTCTCGAGTTGAAAGGGGTTGTTAGCAATCGTGGGCTTTCCTTAGGAGTGTGTGAGGCTCTTGCTTCAAGCTTTTGGTATGAAGTATTGGGTGACAAATGGAAGAGCTATTGTCTGGTGATGCTACCACTTAATTAAAAAAAGTTACCCCTTGGGTGGGGTTGACACCCAAGGTGGGCTGTTGCTGACAGCATGGCGATTAGTCCCACTTCCATTCTTTCAAAATGGCTTGTAACAGCACCACTTCCTGTCCAGGGAGGAAGTAATTTTAGCCCCAGCCCTGAAATATTTAGCAAATCTTTAAAACAAAAAGAGCAAATTGCATTTCTTTCTGGTTTCAAAAGGGTGCCTGAGCCACATGGGGTTAAGGTGCCCCCTCAGCTGGGGTAGTTGGAAGCAGCCAGGGCTGTGGGGGGTAGCAGGCACCCTTTAGGTGGAGGCTATCTCTTTTTTTGGTAGAAATGAAGGGGTGGGTCTATGGTACATCACCTGAGTTGTGGGGTAAATGTAGAGAGTGTCAATCAAAGGCAGAGCTCAGAGCTGGGAAGGAGCTCTAGATGGCGGCTGTGCCTTAGAGAGAGCGCGCTCAGCTCCGTGCCTTCCCCAACACTTTACGCAACTTTCCCTAACTTTCGGGCAGCCTCAGGGGGCCCCCATAGCCCCTTGCCTCTCCTAGGCACTAATCGGGGGCCGAGCGGACCTTTTTCGGGCAGAAAAGCAGCTTTTGAGGGCTCCCTTTTCGTGCCTTGCTGGAAAGAAGAAGCCGTGGAGAGAGCCCAGGTCGTTGTTTTTCCAGCTTAGAAGCCATGGCGTACCTCCATTTTTGTGCGCTCTCCTAATGAGCTTTTTCCCCCGGATATTTTTGTACTAATTATCGCTTCTTTTGCTTTATCGGCAGCATATTTTTGGGATTAGAATATATATATTTTTTTCATTTTCTGAAATTCGTATTTTATCATTCCGAGGCTAAATATTTTGGATCTAATGTTTTTCCACTACCCGAAACTAATATCGACTTGGTCCTGGCGGCGGTGCATGGATCAGGTAGGTGGACAATTAATATTAATATTTTTTACATTTCTGCCGTTTTTAGTCCTTTGATTTTCGACCGATTTGAGCTGTATTGGGATGACGCAATAAGATTCAGAGATTATTTGAATCCTGTGTTACTTTGGGAAAGTTTGCAGGATGCTCCTCTACTGTGTTTATTCTCCGATTTTTCTTAAAAAAAAAACGATTATTTGTTTTAAATCTCCGTTTTGCCGTGTTGATCAGTGTTGTGTATTGTTATAACAATATCATTGCAGCGTCAGGACTTTGTTCCTGATAATGAAAGCCAGTGAAACGAGCTGGGACCTTACCTTTCTTTCAACTTTTGACAGTAAATACCTGGGCACAGGACTTCAAAGCAAACAGACACCCCTGACCCCCCTCTTAATATTTAAGAATAAAAAGATGATGAGAAATAAGGACAAAAGCCAAGGAGAGGAGGGTTCAGTCCACAGCAATGCATCGAGGTATGATCTATCAACTTTTTTTTTTTTTTTGTAAAACCTGTGAATACCCTGTTTACTTTGACAGCCTTGGGTTACTGTCGGTGCTTAATACAGAACATTTTACTGATTTTGTTTCCTTTTTAAGGAATGACCTTGAGATTGTTAGCATGCCACACCCTAATTTTTTTTGGTAGCAATTTCTGAAAGTTGTGTTGTGACTTAAGGGCCCATGTCATAGTCAAAAGGTAATGTACCTTTATTCGGGGGAGCCCTTTTCTCTGTATTATGTTTTCCAGCTTTTGAATTTCAGTTTTTAGGTTTTTTTGTGCTGTGAAAAATGACCTTGTCGGTTTAGCCACTGCTGCATTGCACCATTTTACATACAAGGCAGATTTTTCTTTGAAGAATCTCAGAAGTCTAAACTTTAACTGAGGGCCATACAGAAGCCTGGTGTAGTAGTAAATTATAGTAAATAGACACAAGAAAAAGTTACATGAATGAAAAAAAGCTCATTTTAAAATATAAAGTGTAAAGTGTCTGTCTGTCTGATACCCCATACTTCAAATTTTATTTGGGCTTGTAGAACTTTGATATTGTTTCAGTATTTTAGATTATTTTGATATAGTTTAACCAGACTTTACCCTGTTGGTGATAGTATTTCAGATTATAAAATATAAAATGGGATTGTTGACAAGAGACTTGAAATGCTTTGCCTGTCGGTTTAATATATTTTTGCTTGGAGTGTTTTTATTTACTTTTGTCAAGTAATGAGATTCTTTACAGGTTTTTATAAACTTAACCATGATATGGGAAACATATGAAATACTGAAAATGCTCATGTTTGTTAGGAATGCATAAGTATAATTACTAAATTGCATTTTTTTTCTATTTAATGGATTGCTTTATTCAAAAATTGGAAACTAAAATATACATTTTATTCTATAGTTTGTAAATATACAGAGTTTTCTCATTTTGTTAATTTTAATTAAATCATCGCCTGTTTCGTTTTTCTTATTTTTTTCCCCCCTCTGGTGTTTTCTTCAATTCTAAGCAGTATGAATAAAAAAATTCCTAAACTGTTTGTATCAGATGTGCACTATGTGAGGTTTGCAGGTGTTTGAATAGTATTCTTGATGCCCAGCAATATTTAATCTGTCTTAAACGCACAGACTTTAAATGCTGTGGGAATATATATAATCAAATCAGTGAAACCTTCAAAAATAAATGTGTATGATATTCTGGATATTAAAACTAGCCAAATTTAAAATCTTGAAGTGGATGTGGGTAAGTTTGTTTAATGTGAAATGTTTATTAACTAAATTAGCTCCTGGGACTGCTGAAACATTATATACAGCACCTACACAGAGCTTGTATAATAATGCAGTTTAAAAATGCATCAAATTTTCGGTCCTTGCTGGTTTATATTACTGGAAGTGATGAGTCTTAAATAGCTGGGGAAAAAAAGAAAACTTTTTTTAATTCAACGTTGTTCAGATTATTTAAGTCTTCTTATGCTTCTTTAAAATGTGGATTTTCAACAAAAAGTAACAAGAGGTACATTTTGTTAAGGAGATCTGAATTAAGGTAGCTTATTGGTGATGAATCACTGTGCTAATATGAGATGAAATTGAAGACATACAGCAGCATTGCCATACAAAAGACCTGTTTTGTTTCCCCCCTTTTTTTTTTCCCCCTCTGTCCTCAGGGTATTATATTTGCATAGTCTCACATGTGTAATTTTGCTGTTTTCATTGAAGGGGTGAGTTTAACCATAATTGATCATTTATGTGTAACACCTGTTGTGTGAGGTGAACTATTACCCCCTTTTCCCCCCTCCATTCACATTTTTTTCCTCAGAATAAACTCGTGGTGGGTGACATCCACTCACCTGAAGTGTGGGAACAATTGAACACAGGATATTTATACGTGAGTCCTGTCGAGCTTATTTCTGAGTTGTGAGTCAGCTGAATGTCGTAAAATGTGCTTTACTTCCTGAGGTCTGCTTTAAGTTGTAGGGGAAATGATTTCTAGGAAGTAAAGCCACCAGTTTGCTCTACTGTAGCCCTGAAGTGCCTTGATGTCTGCACATAACGTGCTTCTGGCCAGTTGTCTACACAGTTGTGGGACTAACTCGAAACGTATGAAATCACGTTACACAATCTTTGATGGAAAGCTTGAGTGATGGAAATGGATGGATAAGGTACATAGGGGTGGTGCCATTGATTGGAGCTGGAGAAGCAGAAGATACAGGACTGACAAAATGTGTTAAAACTGAAGAAATGTATGTCTGTGTAATACCTAAGCATACTGACTGGGAAATAGACTTGGAATTGTGTGACCCTTACATTTCCAGGCCTAAAAGCAAAAACTCCAAACCCCACATGCTGAATAAACAAAACACCTTGAGAATTGTCTTGAAAGAGGCATTCTTGTAGGGGAAAATGATGTTAACTCCTCACAGTAACAG